CTTTCTGTTTTTTGTTTTGTTTTGTTTTGTTTTGTTTTTGTTTATCGTGACAGAGTTTCTCTGTGTAGCTTTGAACCTTTCCTGGAACTCACTCTGTAGCCCAGGCTGGCCTCGAACTCACAGAGGTCTGCCTGCCTCTGCCTCTCGAGTGCTGAGATTAAAGGAGTGTGCCACCTCCCCCTGGCACCGCCCCCCCGCCCCCGGCAGGAGTCATTTTCTTAATTGAGGCTTCCTCCTCTCAGAAGACTTTAGTTTGTGCCAAATTGACGTAGAACTAGCCAGCATAATAGTAATCTGTTATTCAAAATGTGTTTTAAGTAACCCTGTTCATATCTACTAATTCTGCTTTCACCACCCGATTCTAGAAGATTGTTCCTGAGGGTACAGGATATCTAATTTATCTCTGTACGTTACAGACAGTGGCCTTTCAATAAATACTTCTTTATTCTAAGGTATTTGAAATCAATCTCAGAAAAATGTTTTCCCTTAAACTGGAAAATCTGTAGTGTGTGTGTGTGTGTGTGTGTGTGTGTGTGTGTGTGTTTATATGTATGTGAATGTGAGTGTAAGAGTGTGTATCTATGTGTATGTGGGTATGAGTGTGTGTTTATATGTCTGTGTATGTTAGAAAAATGGAATTAAAAAATTAAAGAGTACCTTCTTGAAACAAAGTGCCACTCTTATTTTGGTGATATGATTTCAGTTATTTACTGAGTGTTGAGAAAAAATTAAGTAATAATCCTAAGTATTTTACCCTGGCAGCATGTTTTATTGACTGAAAATAAAAGTTTAGTGTCAGGCACACCTGTTCTGAAGCCTTGCTCTATCATTTCCTTGGGGTGTGGACTGTGTTCCAAAGTTTGTAACTTTCAACAGGTAGAATTGATTATATATATTGGGGGGGGTTCAAGAAAGGGTTTCTTCATGTAGTTTTGGTGCCTGTTCTGGATCTCGCCCTGTAGACCAGGCTGGCCTCGAACTCACAGAGATCCACCTGGCTCTGCCTCCCGAGTGCTAGGATTAAAGTTGCTTACCCCCACTGCCTGGCTTGAGTGTTAATAAAGTGTGTGCAAAACACCAGGCACATAGTAAACATTCCGAACATGTTAGCTATTGTTTGTGATGCTAATTTGTAAATATTTCAAATTTGCTTTAGTATTTGTTCCATGTAAATTTATTTCCAGATAAATCAAAGTACTTTCTGATTCCTCATTTAACTTCTTCTTTGACCCATGGGTTATTTAAAAATCTGCTGTTTAATTTCCAAATACTCATGCATTGCCAAATTTCCCTCTGTTGTTGATTGCTGTGTAACACTACTGTGATCAGAGAACATAGCTAATATGATTTCAGTCCCTTTAAACGTATTAAGCCTGTGGCATTCTTTATTATTTGTAAAATTACTATGTGATATATGAGATGGAAATATTGATTTCATCTTCTGCATTATTCCTTCAAAAATAAGTTTGTAGGATTTCTGATATTATTGTACTTCTCATAGCACAGTTCTGATCTTCAGGACACTAATTTTACTGTATAATGGATGGACTTTCCTCCTCAGCTTTTGATCAGGACCGTCTTTGTCAGCTTGGCAAGACTCTGCTGAGTTATTCTTCCCCCTCTTCGTCAGAGGCAGCGGATCCATTGCCAAGAACACATTGTTCTCAGACGGTAAGATGTGGGCTGAGAACAAATTCCAAACATTAGCATCATCTATGTGTTCAACTGGTACTTTTCTTCTTTCCAAACCCATGACCTTGTGAGAGGTCACAACCTTAAGATGAACCCAACCCCAGGTGATTGCAAGCTGCTCAGTTTTTCATCTGTGGATATAACTGAGAGGGTGGGAGAGAGAGAGAGAGAGAGAGAGAGAGAGAGAGAGAGAGAGAGAGAGAGAGAGAAGCTTTTAGTACTAACATTTTGAGGTACCTTGGCTCTGTCTTCTTTCTCTCTCTTTTCTGGTAAATGGGTGGGAAATTTGTTTTACTTCAGGCCCCACCACCATGTGTGGCTTTGTGGAATGTCACAGGAACAACTGAAGCTGCTAAAACCATGAGCCAAAATTTTTCCTCTTCATGGAGGTCAGGGTCAGTTTCCTGGTGATAGTTAAGCAGAGAAATAACAGGTATAGGTGGGCATGTGGTGTCTGGGCAAAAGTTCTGTAGGTGGAGGGGTGATAGGGTTTTCAGGTAGGAGCCAGCCTTCACGTGTTCTAGAGCAGCAAGAAGACACTTAGTGCACAATGAAGTGGGAGAAGATGGGAAGAACAGCTCACAACAAATACACCTCTAGAGTTTCAGTCCACAATTTTATGTCTGACATTGAAGGGCTCTTAAATATGTGTAAATTTGCAACCATTATATTCACACTTAATAAAATTGTGCAAACAACTTTTGAACATCATATATGTGTCATGGCTTATGCAGATAGGGCACAGACACTTTGAGATGGATTGATATACTACCTCTGGAAACACAGATATGTATGAATACCTGTTTCTTACGGTGGATTACGTTGCTTGGTTTTCTACTGTTAAAACAAATTTACACATTTGGAACAAATCTGACTTTCTTGTGGAGTGCTGTTTTTTCTTTTCTTTTCTCTTATTCTATAGGCCTCTTCATTTAGGTTGGAGGCATCTTTTTGTACGTGGTTGAGTGAGATGTTAATTATTTGAAGATTTTTATATTTATGCTCATGAGAAATAGTGGCTTGTAGTTAATTTTTCTTTACATGGTATTTTCACAAGGCAGTGCTGACCCTAGAATCAGTTTGGAAGTCTTTGTAGTTTTATTTTCTAGAAGAGACTGTGAAGAATTTCTATGCTCTCTTCCTTAGGTGCTTGGTGGAATTCACTTGTAAAATTTCTGAGCACCTTATTTTGAGAAAGTTATTACATATTGCACATAGAAATATTAAACACATATACATATATATTGCAGACAAACTATTAAATATGATTCAACTTCTTTGATTCAGGTAGAGATATTCATGTTATCTCTTTATTGTGTGTGACTTTATAGTTATGATGGCCAAAGACATTGGTCCACACTACCTAATATGTTAAAATTATGGATCCAGAATTATTTTATAGTTGTTTGTGGTATTCCTTCATTGTTCAAAGTATCAGTGATACCTTTTTCATTTTCAATGTTGTGAATCCATGTCTTCTCTGTTTTTCTTGAGTTGCTTAGATGGAGGCTTATCAGTGTTATGTTTTCCCCCCCCCAAAGAGTTAGTCTTTGGTTTCATTATAATTTGATATTTTTTTCTGCTATAACTTAATGTCTTTCTTCTGTTTATTTTATGCTTAATTTTCTCATTTATCTTTAAACAAGAGTATAGATAATTGATTTTGGAGTTTTAAATCTCTTGTGTGTTTACTGTAATGCATTTCCCTCTAAGTACGTTTTTTCCATGATTCACAAATTCTAAGAAGTTGTGTTTTACTTTCATTTAGTTTAAGCATGTTTTTACTTTTCTTGAGTGATTCTTTTGACTCATGGATTATTTAAAAATACTTTATTTCATTTTTAGATACTAGAGAATTTACCATTCTCTTTCTGTAACTGGCTTCTAGTTTAACTCCACAGTTATTTGATAATACTACACAATATTATTTTTGACTTCTACAGGCATGTTTTGGGCTCCCAGATTGCTCTGTTTTGGTTAATGTTCAATGTGAGCTTAAGGATGTGTATTCTGCCACTGCTGGATGGAATCACCGTTTCAATGCGAGTAAGTTGATGGTAGGGCTGCTGTGTTATCTAGCTCATTTCTTTGCTCCCCTGCTGAGGGCTGAACCCTGCAGTGAGCATGCTGGGCTGGTGTCCCAGCCCTCCTCATCCCATCTCACTCTCAGACATGCCATTGACCTCCTCCTTCCACTCCTTCTGATGGTTGTTACAACATCATTCTCTTAACGTCTAGACCACTTTTGGTTATTGAATTCTTTCTTTGTGTGAGACAGATAAAGAACACAAGCTATTCTTCATATAGACGGGAAGAGGTTCTGGTGAGCTGGCTTTGGTTATGGAGACATATACTTCATACACTTCACAAGGATGGTTTTCTCCCTCAATGTTCCAGAACTATGAGGGATCTCTTCTTGATGTTTTCTTTGAGAAAATTGTCGAATTGCTACAGGTAATACCTGCAGAAAGATGCCCGCTACTACTATCTCCACTAGCCCCGGACTCCATGAACAGCCTTCCTGTGTCCCCTGGCCTCTTTGAGCACAGCACATGTAGGGACAGAGGAAGACATCCCTGTTCTCATGTGGGTTTTCACTAAAGCAGATATTATTTTTGTAATCAGCAAAAGGCAATAAAGGTGTGGCCATATTCCAGATGCAGTGAGTCAAGAGTGGACAAGACAGCTCAAAGACAACTCCCAAAAGATGTAAGTTACCCCCTGCGGCAGCAGTCTGCAGGACTTGCTTCCTTTTATTTTAATTGATATTCAGTCTCCTGAAGTTGATTAAAATGGCCATTTAAGCATTTCTGCGAGCGTACGGCTTAGAAGTTGTTTCTTCAAGAAAATAGTTCTTGGCTGTCACTCTCTGAATGCACTTGTCCTCAATATCTGGAAACAGAGAAGATTGCCCCAAGACCTCAGTTACTAATGGTTCCAAGAAAAATCACTGACTTCCAGTTTACACAACTTTTTCTTGTAGCAAGAAAGAGAATGACAGCTTCCAAATTCTGTCACACGGGAACTAAAACGAGCAGCGTCCTATCATTTTTTCCTCTTTTATTTTCTTTCCTCAGTTGTCTCCATTTCTTGTTCCCCTCACCCCAAATCCTTTATTTCCATTTGAAAATAGCATAGACTTAGAGAATTTAAGCAACAAAATACAGTTCATGCCTACGCTGTTATGCTTTCCTAGCTCGGTCCCATTGACACTGTTTTTTCTCCACTGCGATGAGAGCTTCCCGACCAGTATCCGCTGTCTGCTTCTGTTCCCTTCCCTCACTGTGTGCACAGCGGCCACCATAGCACATTCCCAAAGTGGGTATTGCTGTGTCACTCACCTGCTCAACACTCTGCACTAAATCTGAACCCATTTCCTTTGAGGGTAGATGAGGCAGATAAGTTCTCAAGTGTATTTACTATATTTTATTCCCACTGCCTGGAATATACTCCCCTCCTGAGACGTCCTTATGGTGTAGTTATTCTTGAAGTCTCAGGACAGAATCAACATGTCACTTTGTGTGCCTTTTCTTTTGAAACAGCTTCTTTCAATGTATCCCAGGCTAGACTCAAACCCATGACCTTCCAGCCTCCACCTCCTGAGTTCTGACATCACTAAATTTGCTAGACATGTTTTCTTGTTGTTTTAGGCATCCACCTCTTCCTCTATAAGCCTTGTCAGAATTTAAATTATAAATTTTGCCACATAGCTCTTTCATTAGACTGTAAAGCCTCAAAAACAAAATTATCATTTTTTTTTATTGTTTTGCAGTTCTCAAGATGGAACAAAAGACCTTGCTCATGTTAGGCAAGTATTCTGCCATTGAGCATCATATCCATTCAACAACTATGATTTGTGATTGACTTCCAGATTGCCATAGTCTAAAATCCACAGACACACACAGACACACAGACACACAGACACACAGACACACAGACACACACAGACACACACACACACACACACACGCACACATACGCACACATACGCACACATACGCGCACGTGCGTGCAGGCACACGCACATGCACACACACACACACACACACACACACACACGCACACACACACATGTACATGCCGCCCCCCTTCCCCCCCACAGAGGTAAAATAGAAAAGAAATCTGAAAACTATGATAGGAAATATCCTGACTTGTCTATAGCTCTAGAGAGTGTGTTACCAAATGGAGCGGACAACATTTGAACAGCATGTTAGGAGGGGTAGGGAACTCTCTCTAGAGAAACAATTCACTACATGTGCTTTTGTGATTGTGACCTCCTCACAGGTACAGAAAGCCCCATGGCAGCTGAGTGTCATGGAGCAGGATGTGAAAGAATGGAGAACAAGCTTCAGGCACATCTAGAATGAATGTTTGTTAGGATTTTAAACACAATCCCACCGGAGCATGCACTTTGAACTTGAATAAGTATTAAAATTGTAATGTGCAGGTATTTATTTAATTAAGTGGATAGAAATAGATTTCTTCTCTAGAAATCTAAGTTTCTTTTGTAAATAAAAGAAGGGCAGTGCTGGCTGGAGACTGCTGGAGCTGGGTCTGTTTTCCTGGGCTGTTGTCCCTGAGAAGCGTGACGCCTTGGTGGTCCAGGAAGTTGCCCTAGTGAGAAGCTTGGAACCTGTCTCTTCTAATGAACATCTTACTTTCAGTCACAAGGGAACTTGTGTTTGGCCCTGACTTAGAAGTATAAATATGCTTTCATTGACTTAAATGCTACCTCGATTCTTTGCTTCATTAACGTCCATGTGAGTGGTTCGTCGGCACAGGCAGCCCTCCCCTGTGCAGTGTTTAGTGTGAGAGTCCCAGATTGAGTGTCGTGCTAAGCAGGCTGAAATCTGAATCAAGAGACGTTTTCAAGATTTGTATTAGGAAGGTGTACAACGGTTTAGTTGAAGTCGCCTTATAAAACACATATGATTTTTATTCATCCACATACTGCTGGTTTGTGACTTATTAGAGGAGTAAATTTCTCTGCTTTTTACTTCAGTGACTATAAGGAAATAGAATATGGAATATGGCACATATTTGGCTTGATTAGAACTTAATTTCTTTTCTATGATAGCATTTAGCACATTAGCATGTTTGTTGTTGTGCTAGTTACTTTTAGGTTTAAGAGAGATGACATTTTCATTTAATTACGTCTCATTATTTCCTTTTCCTTTCTTTCTATGTCTGCGTCCTGCATTTCTGAGCCATCAAAAGGTCCCACAATCACACCTTGCTGCTCTTCACTTCCCGATCTTTCTAAGAGTAAGTTGACAAGTGTAACAATGTAGAATAGTCAATTTCAAAGCATCCTTGGGGCCCCGGCTTGTGCCAAGTCTGTCTCCATAGCATGTCCATTGATCAATGGCAGAACGCACAGACCTTTATGGTAGCCTATTCCCACTTTTAAATTAAAATTATATTTATTTATGTATTTATGTACTTAGCTGCTTGTGTATGTGTGTTCATGTGCACATGTGTGAGTGTGCATGTGCATACGTGTGTGTACTGTGTATGTGGAAGTTATGATAAGTTGCTAGTCAGTTCTCTCCTTCCATCATGTGGGTCTCAAGGGCATAAACTCAGGTATTCAGGCTGGAGGCAAGTGCTGAGCCATGTTGCCTGACCCTCATTTGGTGATCTGGAGCTTGAATATGAGAGTTATTGCTACCTGTGAAGGTGTGGATGTCCTTCCATTTCTTCTCACATCACTTTGTATTATACTGAAATACCTTTTAAAGTTTGATCTCTCTTGCACGCTTTGATATTAATATACCACAGTTTTCTCTGTCTCTGTGGAATTTGGTTTAAACGGGTAAGTTAAATAAACTATTTGTAAATGAGTTTTGCATTATAGCTCAAAATAAATTGTCTCCCTAATGGTGAAACTTAAGTGAGAAATTCAAAAGTTCTGGGGTCCAGGGTGAGTGTTTACAATCAGCCTGTAACCAAACCCAGCTCCAGATTGGCTAATGAGCTAGTTTATATTCACCAAGACCAAATCTGTTGTGAACAGGGACTGACTAGAGAGCTTCCCTATAAACCTGGCAGACATTCTGAAGTCATGAACTGTGCTCCCAGTGTGGGTACCATAAACTTAGTAATGAATAACACTCTTTGAATGTCTGGACAAGAAAGATGTCTCGCTCCAGGAGGCATGCTTTCCTTTCTGTAACCAAACTGGGCTTAGCTGATATTTGAAGCCTGACTTCACACTCTTCAGAACTCTTCTTTGATCTCAAACAGTTTAGTTAAATTGACTCGGATATGTTTGCAGATTGGAGTGGGGGTTAGAGAAATGTGGGGGTGGGGTGTGAACCCATGTGTTCCTCTTCCTCTGGAAGTTTGCCAGCACTTTTCTCTAAGGAAGTAAGATTTTCTTGCTGGTTTTGATTGATTGATGGGAAGAAGTAATTCCAATACAGCTATTGCCTTTAAATACTTTGGAGAAGAGTGTCCAGGAAAAGCCACAAAGTTGGACACAATTTGACAAGTGAAATGTAGGAGGGAAGATGTAAGAAGTGTGGGCCAGAAGCAGGAAACACAGGAACAATTGAGTAATGGCCTCCAACTATGGGAAAAGCGGGTTATTACTTCTCCAGACACACATAAGAGAAAAACGTCCAACTATAGCTTCTTGTGTGAATATTGAACCTGCAAAGAAAATGCTTATCATTTGAGTTTACTGATTAAAAGCATCAATAGAAATTATGAAGTGTTTTCTGGGGTCTTGATACTGAGGTAATTTTGTACTGTTCTCTTTTTAATTAGGCGGTTCAGATGCTTTTACATAAGAGAAACAGTACTTGGTTATATCTTATATACTTCAGTACTCAACATTTGCTGCTCACAATAGATTGCATCATTGCTTAAAAAAACCCACTTCTCATCATTTGTATCAGGCTTGGCTCTTCTTGACTTGCTTTGGATAGTGGATGGTGGATCAAATGAAAGGATCTTATAGCTAAATGTAGTCCTTAAAAGACATGACATGTCGCTACTCACCCTTCAGCAGTTGGGGTTGGGCAGTCTTCTAATGTATCTGAGTCTTAGTATTTCTTCCTAGGAAGTAGAGACAACAACCACACCTTGAAAGTTGCTGACCATATGTGTACCACATACTGGCCATAGTGCCTGGAATTCAGGAGGGCCTCAGTGTTAGCTACTCAGGGCTTTATTTCTGCTAGAGTAGTTAGCTTTCTCCCAGCAGAGGAAGGTCAACATATAAAAGAGAGGAACATATTTTTTTTTCAAATTTATTTATGAGGCATTTGTGAATGTGAATAAATGAATATAAAAATCTGTAACCTTAAAGTATGCATTCACACTTGGGATTATTTCTTATTTTAAATGACCAGGGACAAAACTTGAGTTCACTCAGATCCCCTCGACTTTAGATAGCATGACTAGAAGACATTCTTAGGACAGACGACGACACAGAGAACTATGCTCTCACCTTCAACCTCTGAGGCACAACTGACAAAACATAAATCATACGAACCATCTCAGACATATCCTATACCTCCAGTCTATCCTTCATTACTTTCTTTTAAATTAAATCTGAGAGAAGTATTGGGTAAACAATCTCTCTTCCTCTCTCTCATTACTTTTTTCTGTATGTCAAAAATAGAGTGCGGGCAAATTGTTGTTTTTTAGATTGCTCATTTTAGCATGGAGTGCTAAGAAAAGTTTGGGAATGACTTTCAGAGAAACATTTTTAATTGTTTTTAATTTATCTAAAAACAAGCTAAAAAGTTTAATTAACAGGCTCCAAGTAATAGTTATACCATTTTTCCTGTGCTATCAGCTTTCACTTTTATTTACGATGTGTGTCCCCTTGTGTCTCCTTTATACCTAGGTCCACTATCAGTAATATTTCTGTGATATGTGACTAAACCTAAATGTAACATTAGCACCTGCAATCAATGCAAATTAATGATTTCTTTAAAAAAATTTTCAATCAGGAAAAGCAGCTTTGTAGTTGAAAATCCCATGCTGGCCCTAGAGTGGGAGTTTTTCCAGCCTCTGCTTAAGTCCAAAAAAATACTGCAATCTTCTGGCACAGGCTCACTGTAATGCTTTAAAAACAATTTAGCAACTGTCATTGCCGTAATTACAGTAACTAATTACCATCCTTAGCAAACAAATAGCTTAACATAATACGCAAGCCGAATCAATTTTGAAGAAATGCAAATTCCAAAAGCGAAAAAGGGCATTTTGGCAAACCTGAAAGAGAAGCAGGAAAATAATACACTTTGTTTTATCTGCACATAATTCCCAGGGAATATCATATCATAAATATTTGCATTCAGTTCTTATCAGGACATTTGCATTTGCTTCTTATCAGTGTGCAGACCGGACTCTGCCAGATAGAGAGGGGAGCGTCACACCATGCACATATTTCTAATGAATCACGTCTCGGGCCCAGAGAATATTTTGGTGGAACTTTATCACCCAGATGAAGAGGTCATTTACTCTCCCGGTTGGTTCGTCTTGGAATTGTCTTGAGATTTTGATGCGATTCACCCGACGCAGCATTTGTTTATTTCTTTATTTCAGACAAACATTGGAGGCAGTTGTTTGGCTTTTTTTAAACCAGAGAATTCCTTCCAAAGGCTGCTGTTCAAAGGACATGTCTTCCCTTGCCTGCTTCCGTCTCCCCACTTACTCCCCAACTTCTACACAAATGAAATAAAATGAAAACAACCCAAATTCAATTATTCCAAATTCTATAAAGGAGCAGCCATTTTTATTTTGTAGGAATCAATAAGGAGGGAAAAAAACCCCACCAAGGCCTAGAATAAATCAAGTCCTACTCAACCGTCATTATCTTGAATTTAGTGCCAAATCCTGATGTAGTTGTGTGGGAGCACATTTGAGTCGAGGCAGCATCCTTAGTCAGGGACACCGCAGATAGCCACCTTTCTAATGAGACAAGGTTTTACCCAGGGAAACCCATTTCTCGTGTTATTACAAGTAATGATGCATCTCAGCCGTGAGCACACATTAGGTCAGTAAGAGCAATAATAGCAGTTTCTCTCAGATGTGAACAATAGTCAAGTCCTTTTAAATCCCTGAGTTACATCTCACAAGGTAGCCATTATTCATTGGCTTGCTGGTGCTGAACCCGAGTTACTTGGCATCATGTGATTTTGGAAAGAGAAACAAGAATATTTTTTTTGTGTGTGTTGATTGGAGCCTTCCTGTTGGGTCTTGCCATTTAATTAAGCAAGATCTGTATTTTAGCACTCTGATTGCATGAGGTTCAAATAGATAGGAGCATTATTTTCTTATGTAAAGCAAGGACAGATTGAGATACAAGAATCATGGCCATGCCAGTCAAGATCCCCATAGCAGTGTTATTATTACACAATTTCCTCTGTAATTTTATCATCTACTTGATATTATTGAACAAATTCTCAGGTCAAACTTCAAAGGAAGGCTCCGGATGGGATCAATCTGAGTACCAGGATTTCAATTTCCAATTATAAATTAAAATATAGGTATAATGGAAAAATTGTCATTATAATGGTGCAAAAATGCATTTAATTGTGTTTCCTAGTAATTTTATTCATGAGTATGGTCACTTAAACTTCATTTCACCTTTGCCCAAGAAGAATTTTGCTTCAGTTTATTTATTTAACACAAAAGAGAATGTCTGGCTTATTATGATTCAAATGATTGACACATCTCTGTTTGGATCCAGAAAATGTTATTTAAAATCCCACAAGGATACACAAACATTTTGTGAAACTTTATTCTTATAATAGTAAAACAAGCTTCTGTTAGATTATTTGTTTAAATTGTAATCTTTAAGACTTCATAGCTTTTTGTCTTTCTTCAAAAAGAGCTGTTAATGTAGGCATTTTAAACTGTTTTGATTTTGACATAAATTATTTTCTTAAAAAGTTGTCTGCACACAGTTTCTCTTATTGCCTTTCAAACATTAAAGTCAAAATTTAAACACATACATCCCAATATCTTATAAAAATTCTCAAGACTATTTAAAAATACTAAATATGGAATCAGATTTTCCTTGTGGAAGGATGGTTAGAATTTTATGGCCCATTGAGAGAAAGCTTCTGGTAAGGCTGCTTTTACCTGAGTTCAACTCTTACATGTTCATATTTAAGTTATGGGTGCACAATGTAAAAAATCCCTTTTAAAAAAAATCAGGAGCCTAGAAAAAGGAATAGCACTAAAAACTATTTGTGGAACTCAATAATTCATCTGGAAAGGGCTTCATGTCTGTCTTTCATGTTTAT